TGCCCAGCAGCTGAGCCAGCCTTGGCTCTCCTGACCCTTTGCCAGAGGGGAGGGAGGCAGAGGGTCCCTCCCTCTGGCTTTGCCAGAGGACGCCCTTTCTTCTGCGTCCTTCAGCAGGGGGGAAGAGGACGGCATTACGACGGTGAGCATTACATACTGCCCGAGTCAGGGCAAGGCCAACAGTGATGCGAAGGAGTTAGTGTGAAAGTAACTCTGCTCTTCTATGACACTGCTCTCAGGAAAGATAGAAAGACTTTTGCTTGTAAAGTAGAAACCAGTATTTCACAGCTTATTGCTATTTGCGCTAGAGGTCCCCCCCCACAAGCACAGCAGGGGTCAGACGGTGATTGAGGCATATGAAACTGCAGGACGCCCGAGTGAAGCGAGCTACCACCTAAGCTGAGCAGGGCACACCCCATCCAAAGCACCCTGGAGAGGGGGAAAGGTGTTAAGGGACATCAACAGCCAAAAGTGTTTTGACTTTGCTCTAATGAGTGCAGCTGTAACAGAATTTAAGAATTAACAGAAGTTTCCCTCTTCAAAATTAAACAATAGATAGAGATGCAAAGACTACACCTGTCCCTTGAGAGAGAACAAATCTGGGCTTTTTAATAGCAGCATTAATTCCAAGGTTATGGCGGGTGAACATGTATGTTCTTCTACTAAACTTCGTCTGTAAGCAATGCAGAAATGCAAACATGTTACACATTCAGAGTTGGTTTTGTTTTTTTCTTACTCCCATGGTATCACTAACCACAGCAACGTATTAGATTGGTCCAAGCAAATCTATTTCAGTTACAGAGAAGTGCTCAAGGATTAAACAGTCTCTTCAGAAAAACACAACACACTTCCTGCGTGTCACTTACCAAACCCAGGGTGATTCTTTCCCCTAGCACAACTGCAATTTAAGGAGAAAAACTGCACGTTACACCATTGACTTCCTACAGAATACAAAGGACGAGGACTTACGTTTTATTATTATGTTTTCCCCTCCACAAGTTAGGAAAATATGGTTCAAAAAGGCATCCCAAATAGTCTGTGGTACAACATACGTTCAACTTACAAACATATAAATCTGTGGCAGAGTACAAGGCAGTGTTAATACAGTAGGAGTTTTATTTACATCATCAGTATGGTATATCAAACTTTTTACAGGTATGCTTCAGTCTCTTCTTTCAGAAGAGCCAAGCTTCCAAACAGCAATTGTTTCAAAGGTATAAATTTTAATAAAACCTTCAAATGCTGATGACTTATCAAATGTGTACACAGGAAACACTATACAACTGTGAAGTAAATTAAAATGTGTAAAAAATAAAAATAACTTGATTGACACTCCTTATCTATAGTATCTTTCAAACTCATTTCAGTCATCATTTATTATTCTCTTTTTATCAATATAGATTATTTCGTGGCTCAGGAGATGCAGGGAGTAGCTTGTAATTGTATTCAGCTCAGGTCTGATCCTGCAAACTTGAGAGGAAGCTGAGGAGAGTTGTCTCAGTGCTGATGCAGTGTGTTTAGACTTGGCCTCCTAGCCCACTCAAGTAGCTAAAGCAGTATTTTTGTGCAGACCATACCCTCTTTCGCAAAGGCCTTTGTAGCACATTAATCTATTCCAGCAAGTCAGTGGTTGCTATTTTGTTGTACTCAGTCGCTATCGTATTCCTCTATTTTTAATTCGTCTTCCTCCATGATTGCTTGAGCTGCAACAGGCTGAGGCTGACTGCAAGGTAGTTCACTTCCACTGCACTGGCTAGAAGACAGAGGGAATTCATCCGACTCATTCTCAGTTGTTCCGTTTTTCTCCATCTGTACAGCTGACTCCATAGCATACACATCGGCACGATCTCCCTCGGAGCTAACAAATAAGTCTGGTATCCCAGGATCTTTGTCAGTAAGCGCTTCAAGCTTTAACCTGTAAAATTATCATTGCAACAGTAAGTTAACAAAAAAAAAAATCTCCTGCTCTCTCACACAGCAGCTGCAATAGAGAAGACTGCCTGTGTACCACACAGGTCACCCTTCTTCACTGGTGCTTAACAGCTTTCACATTTTCTGGTAGTAATAGCATCCAACCATCCATCACAGTTAATTCAAGCTATACACATTCCATGCTTACATCACTACCTTCCATATTATGTTTTTGCAGCTGTGCACACATCTTCCAGGTATAGGTACTCGTGCCCAGAACTCAACACTGCACAGCTTACCTGACAGCCTACACAAGACACAGGAGTTCCTCTCTGGGAAAGGACTGTCCTACATAGCCTCAAACCACAGCAACAGCAAAACACCAGATGGTTTTTGTGCTCTGTCGCTTTCCCAGTACCCATTGCTGCTTGAAGTTTCTTCCTTATCACGACAGTGTTTTGGCTTAGCTTTCCTCAAGCACATGAGCTGCTAACAATTAGCTTAGTGGCAACAGCCCATGGTATGTTAAGACCTTTTCCAAGCAAATCCAAAATCCTTTGGGACAGAAAGCAACTGAACTTGAAACAGGCAAATTTAAAAAAAAGAGTAGAAAGGAAATATTTTTCTAGGTTTTAATTTCTTTTACTGTTTGGACTCCTCAGTCTTTCTAGCATTTGTGTATCAGTTACCAATGTTCCTTTATTATTTTTTCCCTCTTTATGTGGGAATAATAAAAACTTACACAGTTACTGACAAAAAAAATCATCCTGACACCAATTCCAGTTGATCAAATACCATGTATTCTCCTCAATGCTGGTGGTCTGACTATGGTACCACTCCTGTTTCATTAATAAATATAATGGAAAATAAATATTCTTCCATTGAAACAGCTGCACATAAGTTATTTTAAGGACTGTGTAATAACACAAAATAAATTTTCTTCAATTAGGAGAAGGAAGAAACACCTGTGCCTTGAAGAGGACAAATCTCTTAAGACTCTTGAAGGAAGCAAACGCTTACTAAAATACCTGTATTCCTCCATACTCCCTGTCCAAAACAGTCACAAATGAAAAAGAATTACTGTATTTTCAGGAGAAAGTTTCCTCTCAGGTAGAATTCTAAGTGACACACTCTTAACTTACTAAAGCAGGCACAAAACACTTACCAGTATTTAAAGGTATGCTGCAGACAAAAATCAATGGCATGAGGAAGTCTACAATTAATTTGTAAAGTTGCAAACGTTTTCAGCTTAGACTAGGGAGATTGCAAGGAAACACATCCGCTAGAGACACCTTCCTCTCTTCCTGACTAGCAAACAAAACGGCTCCTAAGACAACTGTTGGGTTCCTGGGTAATACAGCCTCTACCTTACAGGCCAGTATTACATAGTTAAACTCAGACAGAATACTACGGTGATAAACACGAGACGCTCTGTCAGATGCCCTAACAAACTCTCTCTCTTGGTTAAGAGATGGAAGAGGAAGAGATTCCAGCTACAACTGCTTCAAAAGAAACAACAACTATTTCCTATTATACTTTCTTTCTCACACCTCTAACATGTGTGTGAATATAGAATATTCTATCAAACTGCGGATTAATATTTTATGTCACAATAAACAATAGGCAAAGTGCATTACACTCATTGCATCAACTTGGTTTTGTTCTCACATAAATGTTTTTGATTGCAAAAAAAATTATTCAGATCATGCACTGGAGAAACAGGTATGTCTAGGTCAGAGAGCTAATATTTGATACGACGGAATAGAAAGCTAAATGGGAATTAAAGGCAAGACTAGTAAAATGTTGCTACTAACGTTGTAATGATAAATTTGAACTAGACAAAGTTTTAACAGGCAAAATACAAAATTATGCTACAAAAGAGGGAAGATGCCACACCATACATATACATTGACGATGCTTCTCTATGAAGGAGTTCTTTTCCTCAAAATATTAAGAAGGAAAGTCTTACTTTCTTAAAGGAAAGACAGAAGTCAAGTTTACGTACCTCCCAAAACGTCTTCTCAGTGGTAGCCTCCCAACGTCTTGGATAAAAGCAATCTGAGCTGAGAACAAAGGATCACCAGTGTCATATTGGGTAGATCATAATGCACATATAATTAAGCACACTGGAAAATAAACAGTTACTCAGTTAAGTATTCCTGTAGATACTTGCAATGTTTTGCATGCCAAAACACTGCGTGCACAGGTACGCGTGTGGGTTTTTTCTTTTTTTTCCAAAGTGTTTGCCACATTATCATAACATATTTACAGATTGTCTACACAGAAAAAAAACCCCTGACATTCCCCAACTGTGTATCTATGATGTAGAGTTATTATTCCACAGCCTACAAAATGAATTCATCCTGATGTCAAGGCTTTAGTTAAGATATGAAGCCTTTTATTAGATGGAATTAACATAAGCGATCCAGCTGTCTAAACAAATTTTAGGATCCTGTACCATACAAGGTAAATTTTTCCACATGAACTGTCTGCTATTGGATTACCTCAGGTTACACTTTTTTAATGCATTGCAATCTTGGATTTTGTTTACTTTATCTAGGAAAGGCTTTGTAAAGCCTTTGAAGTCTGTGGATGTTACTGGAAAGGGATCAGTAAGCAATGAAGAATCTAGTTAATACTGCCTACTAGGTTTCCAAAAGTCTTCTCACCAAATCCTCCACTAAAGGCTTTTAAAAGAAGCCTTAAGCCTAAGAGAACAACATCATCAGTAAAGTCTGATAAATAATTAATGAATAGGAAACGGGGAGAGGGCTATAAGGTAATAGTTAACTCTTGCAATGGAAAAAAAGTTGCCAGTACAGTTCTGCAGAGATCTGTGCTAGGGCCTGGACTATCCAGTACATTCTTAAAATGTAACCCTGTGAAAAAAGGAGGTGGAGAGAGATGCAAGTTTGCTGATGCTGCCAGTTGGATGGCTAGTAAGGATGCGGGCAGACAGAAAAACTCTGCAAGGACCTTAGGAGACTGAGGGAGGGAGCAACATGATGAAATTCAAAAGTACAAAGATACCAGAAATCCACGCAGTGAAAAAAAGGGAAAAGCACATGTGCCAACGTGAGGACTCAGTCTTACACATTTTATACAGCATTGCACATGCCTCACTTCTGCCAAGAGAGATACTTCTTTTACTTCTTTCAGTTACACAAGCTTTTAAAATGTTCTTGATGTTGTTCCAAACCTAACAGGACAGCTTGAAGTTTGGCTATGTTACTAGAAATGTTTGTGGATATCAGCTATGCGCGTTTGCCGTAAGTTGTTCTATTTACTGAGGCAAAAGCAAAGATAGAATTGATGTTTCGGATCAGAAAATTTCTCAGTATGCTTTAATGACAAAAAAAAAAAAAAAAAGTCCAGGATCAAGAGTTACACCCATCTTACCTTGGTTTCTCATTGGATTTGCTAACATAGCAAGGTAAGGCAACAGTTCTGTCTGAAGACATCCGCCTGGTAAGCAGAAGCTTGAAAAGAGAGATTTTGCTGCAAGGCAGTTTTCTTGATACTGGAAGAGTTGGGGAAAAAGAAACACATGAAAAAAACTGGTAAATCATTATTAATGTATATATTCTGTACCATAAAAGACAGACTTCCTGCCTGCCTGCGAGATGACTACACACAGGCTACTGAGTAATGAGACTAGAAAAAAGATAAGCAGTTAGAATTAACATATACAGATCACAAAAATGGTAAATTCCTTCATTTTTGCCTTTTGCTGGACATTAAAGATTCTAGAAATTGCCGATCCCTTGACTACAGAATTCCCCACCTATCCAGGCCAATAGTTTTTGCCAGCTACAGCAAGAGAGATCTTAATTCAAATGTATGAAATTGCCAAGAGCTTTGGTATTTTTTGAACAAGCTATTTCTGATAAGCACATAAAATGTAACAGCAGTAATTTGTTAAACTCACACAACAGTTTAATGGGATTTAAACTGCACGAAAACTCGAAGTATTACTTTCAGAAATATTTTATATTATTTCAACACTAGTTGTGTCTCTATTAACTTCAGATTAAGGCTCTCCCAACAGTATGCCAGCTTAGAGACAGGAATCAGATGTCAGAGGTCTTCAATTTATTTTCCTATTAAAGGAATAATACAAATGTAACTCTTCAAGCAGGTGCTTTTTAGAAGTAGCTTATATGAAAACAGGTATTTGACAAGTTCAGCACTGTGATCAAATCTCATCTATACTACTCAATTGTCATACCTTAAAAAAAAAAAAAAAAAAAAATCAAGCAAGCACTTACCTTTTTATTGATAAAGAACCACTGGGGTTTATGTAACGGCCGGAACCCCATCCCTCCTTGGTGGTGGGCAAAGGCTCTGGATGTGTTTGAATGTATCACCCCTCGGGTAGCCACAGACGCACTGTATTTTTCCATCACAAGCCGTGTCTAAGAGAGAAATCAGGCATCACGTGAACTCCAGGTCTCCATGTGGTGTCTGTCTCAAACTAAAACACACTCTGTAATTGTGGTGACACGGTGTGCCCAGAATACGTTTAGATTTCTGTGAAACTTTTACTTAAAGCAGCTGAAGGAAAAGCTAGCTCAATTATTTCAGGGAAAAGGCATACAGACTCCCAACAAATTTTTAGCATAAATGGGTTCCACTTAAAAATACTTTGTAGAATATTTTACAAACACTATAACCCACTGAAATAAAATACCGACAGAAGCTGGACAAAAACTTGGACTTGCATCTCTTCTATAGCTGATGTAGTTCAGCATTCGTTGACAAGTCACTGTCACCTATATTGTAAGTTTGAAGTGACCTAGCTTAATTCTTATTGACTCATAAGAAAATTGCTTTCTACCATTCATAAACTGAGAAAAATTTAGCAGCTCAATGTCAGATTGTTTAAAAAAAAAGTATATGTGTATAAAAAGATGACACTTACACTCCAGTTACTACAAAGGACATCAGCGATGCTCAAATATTCACTGGCTCTCACTACATCATTTATATCAGAAAAAAAGTCTACATAGTTCTGATGAAGGTATAAATTAAAAATGCTTCCAGACATATGCGATTTTTCCACAATATCCTATTATTAGGGAAAAAAAAAAGTTCAAGTTTTACACATTATGTAAGGAAAAGCATCCTATAAAGCTATCACACATTTAGACAAGAAGCTGGCAAACATGATCGACCACGTGATGCTTATACACAAAAGGGCAGTTGGTTTGCTCCTAGAAAAGGCTCACGCTGGGGATGGAGGGGCAGAAGCCATTGCTGTCTTCAGCTCTTTTAATGGGTGGTAACACAAAGGGCTCCTCTTGGCAATGCAGAGTGACAGGATGAGAGGTAACAATCACAGCCTGCAGCAAGGGAAAGCCCACCTTCCACCACAAGTCCGTCAGTGAGGCAAGAGAGCCTCTGTCCTCAGAGATACTCAAAACTCGTCAGATCAAGAGTCTGGGAACCTAATCTATCTTTAAAGTTAGCCTCCAGAGGTCCCTTCCAGATTCATTATTCTGTGACTTAGACAGCTTGAATACATGTATATTAAGCTCAGTGACAAAACTACTGTCAAATGAGAATTTGCATCAATCACTGAAGAGTTCGGCTTGGTTTGTTTCTTCCAAACCAAACTGGAATCAAGGTGTTATGGCAGATGTACCTCAGGCTGAATAAGCAACGTGTCCCGATGGTATTCTGATAAGTGAGCAGGCAGCTGAGGAAGTTCTGATTCTGACACTGGTTCTCCTACAAAGGATTTAAAAATCTTTAGTCTTTTAGTATCAGGAATGTTACATTTCTGCACATAATTAAAAAAGGCAGAAGAAAGAGACACATATATCCAATTAAATATTCAAAATCGGAATAAAAATTAGATAGGAGCAAGAATTGAGACGTGTAACTGCATGAATAGTAGTTTTCGCATAAATTGAGTGTCATTTTTGGCAACCATCAACTCTACCAGCAACAAGTTTACACCGTTTTCAGTTCCCAGAAAGCTCTTGATGTGGTAAGTACTTGATTATATACTCAAAAACACGGAATTTGTTGTACTAAGTGTAATGTAACTAATTATACCTAACTATTTTCATATTCCTTCATCTCACTGTTTCTCCTCATTTGATTTTGCAACTCATACTGTGGACTATTACTGAAATGCAGACAGCCAATGGCATTATGGAACCTGATTTAGCTGAGTGCAGACAGTACTAGTTTAGTAAGTACGAAATGCTTATGAATTATAGTTTTTAAACGTTATAAAAACAGTACTGTAACCACACACAGGGAGCAGATAGTGTACAAAAAGCAGACCTTTCAGTAGTAGTAAGGTGGAAAGTATTTTGGAGAGGTGGAAAGGGAGACAGGGAATGACAGAGAAGTAGAAGAGGTTTTGAAGTCAGACAGGAGAGAGCATATATGTCTATTAAAGGGAAACAAAGAGTTGAGATAAAAAGTAGGGAGGAAAAGAGCAGGAGCAGTCAAACCCATACACACAAATAAGGGAGGCAGTAGCTACCAGGCTGCAGGGCTGTTCTGCAACCTTTAGGAACACAGATGAGTACAGAACACAAACGTACACCACCGTATAATTCTGCACAAAAGCAAAATTATGCTTTTGTACAAAACAACAAAAGTGGTGGCTGTCTGTCTAGCTTTGTGCACATGGCAGCACGTGGACCTAATGCAATGAGTTATGTGATTTTATGACATACATGTAGTGAGATGTTTATTTACCTAATAGATACAGACAGCTGCAATCACAGTTACCACGAACTTTTATTACTGTTTTTATGCTGTTATTAATGATGAAACATGCAAATTATAGGTCACCCTAAGCCTTACTTCAGCAAATCTAGCTATTAGCAGCTGACATGCTTTGCCCACTGAAAGGAAGAATAAGTCAAGGTTTTCCTACTTTTGCAGTAAATTATTTTCCCCAGAGCATGGAAAAGAAAGATGGAAGCATCTTTGCCACCAATAGCTTGGATCTCCTGTTCTTCTGAAGTATCAGATTTACTTTTCTTTCTTCCTTTAGATACTGCTGCTTCACATTTTAGCATGGAGCTCCTTTTCTTACTTGACCAAAACTCCTTCTCCAATGAGCAGTCTATCAATAAAAGCAGAAGTACAATCAGGATAAAGTACATGAATCTAAAAATGTTTTCTACTTGTGGTGGTTTAACCCAGTCCAAAGCCAGGACACTGTAACATTGCTATTGCTAATATTCTAAACAAACAAATAATAAAAAAAAGGGTTATATCAGTAGGGGCACTAAGAAAAAAATAATTTACTAGGAAGGCAACTCAGCTACCTAAACTAGCATGCTTCATGCCACTTCTGTCCCTTACGCCACAGTTAAGGTGTCAAGTATTTTTCTGAATAATAAATATGTGTCTTTTAAAAAAAAACCCACTAGCATTCTTGCTTATTCATTCCAGTTTTGATGCATTCCCAACTTGCCTTTCTTAAAAATTTCTTCTTTATAAAGTACAAGTGCAAATACATGTAAATTACATTTCAATTACACTGTTCACTTATCGATTTAGACATATAATGAAAAAATAAAAGATAACACCCTCACTGAAACATAAGGCAGCGAAGAAAAACTTTAATTTAGGTGATTCTTCCAACAGCCTACTAATTTCCGCAATGTTTTGAGCTCCAAGGAATAAAACCCCTCTTCTACTCCAATTTAAAACTCAAAAGTGTTCACCCACGATTTGATTTAGTGGCAGGTGAATGTTCCTTATTGAGCTAAGGGAACTTATCCTGTAAGTATTCTCTTTCTTTCCTCCCACAATTACCATGGATCCATTTTACCTGTTAATACTACTACAAAGTGAATGCATCATTTGTGTTTACACTTATATGCAAGTGAAGAAAGAGATTATATACATGTAAAAAGTAATATTGCATTCCCAGGACACCATCAAGGAGGTGAGACGTCGCCAAAATTTACCAAATATCACTGGCTACCAATCATTTACCTAACTGAAATACTTGAACAACTGAAAAATTTCTGTTCAACATGAAGGCAGCTTGTCTCAATCTGTTAGAGAAAACGCGAGAAAATGTTCAGTGTGGTATGACTTGAGTACATGATTCTGAGATGTTAGGTACAGAAGCTGTCAGGCCATATATGCCTTGGTTTTCTCCCAAATTCTCTTTAGAACTCTCATGTTTTTACGTTTCTAAGGTAATCTATTAAAAATTACACCAACTGGTCATCTTAAGACTATTTAGATTTTCTAGAGGAAGCTGCTTAGCATCCAGCAGTGAGCTACTGCAAACTCTTCTCAGGTATCACCAACCTACTACTTCTTAACGCCATTATCACCAAAATGATTTTATGGAGAGGAATTTTGTATTTTTCTGACTGACACAGAACAATACAAACTTAGCATACTAGAAGACAACATCAGCAGAATTTAGTTTCCACATTTACGAGTTAAACCTAGAAACTTTACTCTCTCCCTCACGTAATTTAACAAACACAGTTAATTTCAGTATACTCTAAAACTCAAACTACAACACTCCCTCCCTCTTACAACAAGGACTTGAAACTACATTTAATCCTATATTCCATGGCATATTTTCTATTTGCAAGGTGGATGGGAGAGAAAACGAGTAAAAGCAACAAGACCATTGCTAGCTTTACCACACACAGCGGAAGACAACTGTTGGATTCACTTCCTTGTTTCTAGGTTGAATATAAATGATGGCATCATCTAACAGTTCTTGCAATGAACTACGCATGCCAGAGTACTGCTTTTAAAAATCATAGATTTATGTAACTCGCATACATTGGTTTCTTAACAATTACTGACTTCCAAAAGTTATAAAAGACATGACAAAGTCTCCTGTTTTCTTTTGATGTTGGAACACTGAAAATAACCCCAAACTAAGTTTGATTTGAGCATTGTTCAAGGCCAGGTTGGATGAGGCTTTGGGCAACCTGGTGTAGTGGAGGGTTTCCCTGCCCATGGCAGGGGGGTTGGAACTAGATGATCTTTGAGGTCCCTTCCAACCCAAACCGTTCTATGATTCTATGATTGTCCAGTCAAGCACTTTGAAGACGACCAAAACAGTGAACGTAAAAGTCATTCGTTAATACACTCAACAACTTCATAGTAGGTCATGCCACCTCACAGCTTTTCCATTTACCAACAGCCACACGAACTCCAAAGCCAAATCCATCATCACAGAAATGCTGTAAACAAAGTCAATGGGCTATTTCAGAAACTATTTAAGGGTAGACATAAGAACATGGAGAAGCATAAGAAGGAAGCAATGAAAATAGCCCTCTCAAATCAAGGTTGCATTGTAAAAGCTTTGAACAGTAAAGACACACCAACAGCAAAAATACCAAGAAGAAAAGAGGGCATTTCATTAGATTACATCACCACATACGCAGCAGATGTGACTCAGTTTTAAGATTACCTACAACGTCATGAAATGGAATGTTTTCAGCTTAAAAAAAAAAAAAAAAAAATCAATGAAAACCCACAAAAAACTCTGCCTTTTATTCCTGTTCCAGCATGTCAAAAACGTTTTGCACAGCTCACCTGAGCAGCATGTCAAAAACATTTTGCACAGCTCACCTAGCTGTGCTGCAACAGTGAACAGAATACCTTTACATCAGAAACGGTCAAAATACCATTCACTTAAAGTCACAGGTATTTACCTTTCATAGAAGAAAACTGAAGACTGTTTATTGCACTTCTTATGTCACCTGAACAGCCTCTGCAAAGCAACTCCAGAGAAGTTCTATCAAGAGCGTAATTCTTTTCTTTGTTCTGCAAGGAAAAGCAACGTTCAAAGAAAAAGCAGGAAAAGGAGTATTTGAGTAATGCTAGCTGTGGGAATCAAATTCTGATACACGCCAAAAACAGACTACATGAGCATCCACCATGTGCTCAAACCATGTGATACTGCTAACGTTAAAACATTTAATCCATTTAAGCATATTGCCACATTTTATATAGCAATATTAAAGAGAATAATGCACATCACCCTTTGCAGAGTGCCACTCAATATTAGACTTGGCTGTAATCAAATCAATGTGGGAATAACACAGGATTTAAGTTCTTCTGGCCTTGCTGGATCCAATGAAATTACTTCTATTCCTATTACTTGTTTCCTATATATAGTTTCTGTAATAGGCAGAAGAACTTTCAGAAGTAACTTTGAAGACTTAGACAAAGGATGAAGTAGAACTAATCTTAAAACCAAGACATCTTTGCAATTTGTTTCTTGTTTTCTGCTGGGGGGACTGGTGGACTTTATTTTAGCGGTGTGGGGGTCTACTATCAAAAAAAAAAAAAATCAAACAAATACAGTAACATATTTCAGACATTAAAGTCTGAAATCTTTTGGTCCTAGCACTGCACAGAAGTTATCAGTTTTGACAACTTACCATACTAGCTTCTGTTGCAGCTATTCGATTAAGAACTTTCATCATATTTGTTGGTGCAACAGGCTTCAAACTGTTGAATTTCATTTAAAAAAAAATTAGTTAGTTTCTGACTTCTCATTTATTTTAATCAAGTTTTAATGAGACAGAAGATCTTACCTAATACTGGATATACACAATTCCTCTAGAATTTCCGCTGGGAATAGTAACCTCTGGTTGCTGTCTCCACTGAAGTTATCTGAGATTATAAATATAAGGGGACATCTACTTGTGCGAACAAATCTCCTAAATTGAAAAATAAGCAAATATAACAAGGGTCAAACTCCACTTTACTGCAAGTGGCTAAGGCAAATCATTAGAAACTCATTTGCAACTGACCTGAGAATTTCATGTAGACTGCTAGGCTCTCGATAGAATTGGTTAGGTATGTCCTGTTCAAAACAAATGAAGCGCTGTCTTTACATTCAGATGTAAATCTCTCTCCCACAGACTGACAGCTACCTTGCTACACACTTTTTCTTCCTGGTTAGCTTGCTTTCAACTAAATCTGAATGCAGCTAACATTGAAGACAACCAGAGGGGAAACAAAGCAAAACAAAACAAAACACACACACACAAATAAAAAAGTCGAAAAACCAAGGCATAGTATTTCTTTCTTTCATTATGGAAAACAACTGGCTAAAAAGAAACATTTTCCTTCTGTCCTTATTTCCTAAGAAACAGCCTTGGGTGATTACCTCGCCTGCTAGACAGAGTTTTACTCAAAGGATAAACTTTCCAGGTAGCAGCTCCACTGAGGAAGAGGGCAGGATATACTACTTGAGATATGAGAGGACCTACTCACAAAAGTGACTTTATGAAGAGAAGTCACAGAAAACTATGGTTCCTAAATTCTACAGTACATCAGAAGGAAAATGCTATTGAAACACACTCCTGAACAAATGGAAATAAAATCTTCTGTACTTCCTGTCATGACTTACAAACTCAGAGTTCACATCTCTGCCCTAACTAACCCACGTAAAACCAGGGAATGCTAAAATTCAAGTGCTTTCTGATTGTGTTAGTTCTCATGTATCTTCTACACTCTTCTGCATCCTTAAGTAACAGAATAGTGGGAGTTTTTTCCTCTTTTCCTGTTTATACATGCATTTATTTCTAAAAGACTAATCACACAGAAACATGGGTATGACTTTTCAATATGATTTTGATTTACTTTTTGATACTCTGTTACTTATTTCTGTACACAAACTAGTCTCCAATTTCTGCCAGGCTGTTAGCTTCTATGGTTTAACCGCAGGTGGCTTAGTCCTAGACTGCTAGAGACTCACAATAACAAACTCAGCTGCAGTAAAGCAGACTAACTTTTGGCAACACCAGTCCACCAGCTGAAGCTCGTTAGTATGTCAGTATTATAATAAAAGGTATTGTTTCCAAAACCAGACTTCACAAGTTTTCACTTACTTCAATAAGAATCAACTTTTTATCATTTTCTGAGGACTCCCCAAGCATCTGAAGTTTGTTATACTTATTTGCCCTTAATAGAAAATCTTGAAACAGAGCTGCTTGGGCCTGACTTGGAAACGTATGAAAGTTTGAGTCTGAAAAAGAAAACTAATTAAAAATATGTTTTTCATATTATACCAAGTAAAACATAAATACCCACAAGAAGTAATACCCACCTATGCTATTTTCTAACAGTTGCCACTGAACACCAGCAGCCAAGCCCTTTGGCAAACACTTGACAAATACAAGAGAGTTTTTAAAGAGCACAATTCAACTGAGGATCTAAATGAAGACAGACTTGTGAGTTTTTATTTAATTGGCTCAAATTATATCTAGGCTATTACATAGCTCTCTGTACTGATTTGAATTGCAAATTATTTTGGAGTAAACACTGTAAAAAAACCTAAATCCTTTTTCAGATAAAAGCAAACGAAAGATTCTTATTAAAGATCAAGGATCTGACTTACATGGATGCGGATCTGAGTTCATATGTGACAGACAAAAGAATAAAAAACACAGAATACAAAAACTACAAAAATAATTGGAAGGCAAAAAAAGGAAAAGAAAAGAAAAAACCAAAATACTTACCATGGCCAAACATATTTCTTAAGTCTTCTTTTGTAAAGTCTAAAGATAGTGGATTGGTCCATTCTTGCACCTGAACACCAAGATCTTTTGCTAATACTTGTATAGTTGCAGTCTTTCCACAACCAGGAGGACCAGTTAGCAGTAAAACAGAGCCACCCTGTCACAGGGAAGGAGTGGGGAGACACACACACACAAAAAAATCCCAAACATGATAAATAAAGACTGAAAGTTGACTGAAGGTGAAGAGTGGTTGAATTTCTTCCGTAGTTTCTCTGGTAATGATTCTCTTTCCCCAACAAAAACTGAGTTAAGTATTTTGTGTTATTAATTTACCTATTAAGTATTCAGAGCTAGACCAGAACGCTGAAAGTCCTGCTCTCAGTTTTTAATGTGTCTGTTGGTTAAACTGCACACCATGTAGACTACCAACATAAAGCACGCTGAACTGGAGAACTAGGTCTGAAAAACGCCAGGCAAGATGGGTAAATGATGCATGTGTGTAAGAATGGCTCTTATCAATCAATAAGTAAAAACATCCTATTGCATCAATTCAGTGCAACTGGAGTTTGCCAAGATACCAAAATTAACCCGTGGGAGATTAAATGCAGTTACAAGCACATATTGAAGAGGTATGAGCTGACTGGATGCTAGAAAACAATGTTTCTGAGCAAAACCATGTCCACCTCGTAGCAGCGTTAAGCCTCAAACAAACCCTAATTTAGAGTAAACCCTAATTTATGTTCTTAACAAATTTCTTAACATACAATAGCTGTACAACCACTACCTGTAAGTTAAGGGTTTTCTCTGAAATTAAAATAAAATTGAATCTACCTCGTTTGTATGGTTTTATATCTCAAGTTGCTAATTTTAGCAAGATTACCTGCTTTGGCTGCCTCTGAAATATGTGCATTTTTAACCAGTTTTCAACTTCTTCAATTTTCTTCTTTTGCACAGCAAGGTCATTCTAAAACGAGATTAAAATATATGAAATGCATATACACACTTCCTGGTTTCTAAGGCCGTAAGGATGAGATTCCAGAACAGAACATAGGCTGACTAAAATATTAACAGACATGTACGTGTACATTCCAGTTACATATGTTTATGCTACCTAGAAGTAAGTGCAACAGTTAAGGATAATCATTTCAGCCTGTTTCCTGAAACAATCAGTTTTCCATTGCTTGCAGTTGGGAAATAATGAATTATTTACTATTCCTAAAGTAACAACATGGCAATCTTGCCTGTTTCTGTCAGTATGCTTTACAGCTACTGCTAGAGCTGATGCTTTTTAGGCTCTACTGACTCGACTCCAATACTACATAGGTTTTTCAAACTCCTGCAAATCTCACGCAGCTTACTTGTCTTCTAGCCTTGTAACTCAATTCCTCTCCAGAGATGAGCTATTAAATATTTACACAGAAAATACAAGTATAACTCACATTGACCAGCACTCAAATCTAAGAGACAGTTAATACACGTGCTGATGCCTTTGATGTGGAAAAGCTGTTCCACGAGCAGAACCAGTAAAGACAGGCTGACTGCAGATTTGGGTCCTTTCTCTTTGAAGCCCTAAGGTACCACAGTAGCTCCCACTCGCAAAGCCACGCCTGAGATGCATCGAGCAAGCAAGAGATAGCTTCACCTACAATCAGTCAGGTACTCTCAGGATGCTAACAGACCAGCTCACTGCTGTCCAGTAACGTGTAAGATAAGTTCTGTTATCTTTCCCATCATAAGCGTGCTAACTCAGTCCTCTCTCCTTTCTTCAGCTGTGGATCTTCCTAGTACTTGGAACTGTCAGATCTGGCTAAAATTCAGTTAACAGGTTCCGAAGTTTAGGAGTGGACGGGCAGGAAACAACATCTCATCAATAGCTTTATCTCCTCAGGAAGCCTGGAGGAAAAACGCGTCTCCTATGGATAAACAGCGAATTAAAATCTCAACAACAGGAAGTAAATACATCAAACTAGTACTCCACTGCCCCAGTAAAACAGGATATACTTGGAGCCTGACCAATACAGATTATGAACAGAAGCACGGCATGTAACACTACAATAGTATTACTACATTAGCACTGATATTAACTCTCACACCTGAGTTTGGGGTTTGTATCTGTCTACCCACGGCTCATCTTGAGACTGGCTCCAGTTTTGCCTGGACTTGTTACAAGGCAGATCTACTGAAGGTGACTTTGCTCTTTTTCTGGGAAGAACTTTGGGTTTGCAATTTTCCGGCACAGAAGACAGGTGTTTCTTCTTCTGCTGCCGGTTTCTTCCAGAGTTGCCTTCTAGTGGCTTCACAGGAATGGCACTAGAAGAAATATCTGTGTTTCCAATGAAGTCATCAAACGAATGTGCCAACCAGTCTGTTACCTGGTAAAATACAAACATTTCGCTATTAATGTAGCACCCTTCTCCCCTTAGTTGGTATAGCTGTCTCTAGAAAATTCCAGATTTTTCTCAAGTGTCTACAAGAGCATCTCACAGATGTAAAGAACTTCATGAGCATTGAAAGGCCTAGTACTAGTTAGAACAAAACAAGGGCACTTATGCTTTTTCAATGCGTCAATGACAAGCTGCTTCAGTATTAAAAAGCAACGACACCTGACACGTTGTTGTGGTATTTTGCAGCAAACTGGCAAATCAGAACAAGTTGAAAATTCTACAAACACACATTCAAATTAAGGAAGTAAATTTAAAACAGAAACAAGAATGAAAAAACAGCATGAGCTTATTTATATCATTTTGATATTAACATTGTGTCCACATTGTCTCTGTACAGTTTTTGGCATGTGGCTTTTTTTTTCTTTTTTCTTTTTCTAAAAAAAAACCCACCCATTTACAATGCAGGCATTTGCGTTTAAAAGGTAGAAATAGGCAATAGAGAAAAATTATTTAGGCAGCACAGTAAAATCAAGTATTTTTGGTTTGCTGTGTGAAGAAGCTTGGACTGATCTAGAATCAGACCATCATGTGTCTCACAAGTCTGTGTATCAGAAGACAGTGACAAGGAACGAAAGTGCCAATAGCATCAACATCTGATTTTGGACTGCAGAAATAGCCTAGTAGAACAGGTGTACAAATTTGCATCCCAGCGCCACTTTTCAGCCCTCTTACGGTCCCGAAATAACACCCCTTTTAGCATAGGAG